GTATTCCAAGTGTGGCCTTACTAAGGCATTGTAAAGTGGTATTAATACTTCACGTGATCTTGATTCTATCCCTCTGTTAATGCAGCCCAGCACTGTGTTGGCCTTTTTGGCAGCTGCAGCACACTGCTGGCTCATATTTAAGTGATTGTCCACTAGGACTCCGAGGTCCCTCTCACAGTTACTACTATTGAGCAAGGTAACCCCCTATACTATACCTGTACATTTGGTTTTTCTTGCCTAAATGTAGAACCTTACCTTTTTCACCATTGAATTTCATTTTGTTAGATAGCGCCCAGTGTTCAAGTCTGTCCAGATCCTCCTGTATCCTAAGCCTGTTCCTTTACTGTTGATGGTTGATCCTAAATGGCAGAAAATTTCCACCAATTTGATTTCTTCATTGTCAATTCTAAGGCTAGTTTTTCCATCTGTTGTCATTAATTTGGTCTTCTTTATATTTAATTTTAGCCTCTTTTCCCCCCATTTTTCACTCTGCTGCATGACTTTTATTAGCAGAGCTTGCAGATCCTTTGCATTTTTTACTGTTAGGATAACTCTCAAGTAAGATTAAGTTTATTCTGGTTGTTCATCTCCACGAAAATTGAAGTGCTCCTGGAACTCCAATCATCACTGGGTTTTCAGAGGCTGGCTGGACAAGGAGGATGTTTGTTCTTTTAAGACCAATATACGAATTTTCAATCCTTTCTTAAACAGTAATATAGCGGCAGTTGTCTGTGCTTCAGTTCAAAACACTTAAACTCGCAAACTTTGGGAACTCAAGATAGTATGCACAATACTAATTTCATCTCTCTAATAATAACTCCTTGAAGAAGATTGATCCAAGCAACAGTGATTGGCTCAAAGGGAGCCAATGAGCTTCGTGGTAAAGCTTTTCAGCTCCCAGAACAATATTCTTAGTGCTACATTAATGATTGCAGCATTTTTGATAAGACTCTAAGTATGAATTATTCAATCCTCTTCTCTTGCTTAGTATGTGAGTGTCAGCATGGAATTTGCAACCATGGCCCCTCTGGAGATGGAAATTGTACCTGCTATGCTGGTTATGCGGGCCCCAAGTGCGACCAAGGTGAGTAAATGAGGGTGTATCTTTTACATTCCTTTGGTCTTCAGATCTCACCATCATATTGCTTTAGGAATAACTAGCATGGCTTGGAGATCATCTGGGGCAATCTCTAGATTTTTTTTTGCTAGACAATAAATAACATGTTAAAGTTTAGAAATAAATCTTTATCGGGTATTCAGAACAGTCTGAGCCCCATACAGTATTTGGTTTCTGGATTGATAATAAATAAAAGAGGAAAAGAGATCAAAAATACTGATCCTGTTGTTTGCCCTGTACATATACACACTCATAACACACACACGAGAGAGAGAGAGAGAGAGAGAGAGAGAGAGAGAGAGAGAGAGAGAGAGAGAGAGAGAGAGAGAGAGA